TATGAGATGAGATCAACAGAAGTCTTGTCTTCCTTTGCCTTGTGTGCATCGCTATCTGTAACATCACAATGTTCCGTGTCAGTTTGTGTAACAAATGCTGTGATAATCTTGGGGACAATTAATACATAAGTAGATATAAAGCTCTATATACACGATTTCCGAAAGAGGAACGGGACAGGAAAATAAGGAAAGCTGTCAAGTATGTTCGTACAACGGCATCATGACACAGTATACCTGACGGATAAACTTTAGACGCGCGGGAGACGGCAGGCCGACAGAAATTCGCCTCATGGATCAAATCCACTAGTTCTAAGGCGTTATTTTGAGTAAGCGACTTTCTATCCGAGCGATATAAGTATATGTTCTACACACAACGGGGTTGTATGTACGATCACGTCATGCTTAGATGCCGCATGGTATTTTATTTCTGGAGGGCTAAATGCTTGCTAATAGCATTTGAGACTCAACCTGTAGTGAATCTCTCCCCAGGTAACATACAGCCACTCTGCAAAAGTGTTGGTGATTCCGGTTTCGGAGTGAGACATTCCTCCATATGTAACTGTGGCGGACCATTAAGAACCCCTAAGAGAAGACTTCCCCAGTGACCAATGGCGCCCAAATTAATGAAGAATAAGATGTTTTGAATCTCAACTTTAATAACATCAGTATTACGGGTGCGTCACACTGCGCACTGACATTAAAACTATACCATGAACACTTTTGCTGAGTGGCTGTACATTCGAAATGATACGATATATATCTGCCAAGTGCAAGAAATCCTGGAGCATAACTAATTCCAAGTCAATTGAGCTCTTCTGGGATCTGGGCTGGAGAGAACTTTGGATTAATATAGCTCTACTGGGCTGAAACGTAGATGAAGTCTGTGCTCGATCTCGACCTCGCGATATACATACTCCCTTGCTTCTCTGTCATCTGAATAATCACATGAGGGAAAGAGCCTTTTTTTTAAAAACTGTTTTAGAGTTCATATCTGCTCCTAAACCCTCGATTTCTTTGTGCATAGTATCTATCCCATGATCAGATAGCTTCGCAAGAGTCAGTAAAACTCCGAAGGGTCACGTAGCAAATAGATGCACCCCGTGACCACCTCTAAAGATGGGAGTATTGAAGAAATATTAAGATGTCAATAGAGTTTATATATGAAGCTCTGTTATACTGGCATTGATATATAAACTTGAATCCGGCTGTTTCCCGTCGCTTTTGCTCAGACAACTACACCCAAACACTTTCTTAAGCTCACAACACCTTTTTACCCTTAATATCGCATCTCAAAATGAAGCTATTCTACATCCTTTCTGCCCTGGCCGCAGCTAGCAGCATTAGCGCAATTCCAACCACTAGAGTTCTTATCATTGACGACGACCAAATAGGTTTGTCCTCCATCCTGTCCTCTCTTGAGTGGGTATAGATAGTAACATAATGCAGGTCTCTCCAACGTAGAAAGTAAGGCGGCATGCAAGACGGTTGGAAAGTCCTGCAACGTCTTCAACGAATTCTGCTGCGACGGCTTGTTCTGTTTTGTTTGGGGCGCCGGTATTGCCGGGAATTGCGCCAAAAACGTATGTTGCCCGCCCGAGTATTTGTATATGGAATGCTGACACGAGGAGTGGTGATCTGTGGTCGAACCCCTCGGGCTCGGTGACCATTAAGTCGAAGTCACTCTAAGTTTCTTTTTTTCTTCCATACGTGTCCCCTCTGGTTTGATACCGGAGTTAGTGATTACTTATCACTTTCTATGCCGCGGAGTTACTACTAGTCAAGAATGGAAAATCATATTTGAGAGTTGATTGTGCATTTAACTTGCTTGAGATCTCGAGCTACTGCTCCTGGAGCATTGCGTTGCCTGTTACAAGTAGTCGTAGTTGCATATATCGTGCCATATTATCACTCTCGCACACCAAAATCGAGTCCGGTTCAAATGGTTACAATTCGTTGTGTGATTCAACAAAGAGGTCGCAAAGCTAGATAACGTTCATGTTTATTATGATAATTAATTAAGCATTTAGTTATAGATCTGAAACCTGATGGTATTGCGCCCGTGGTTGCCTGTAGGTGATGGTGTATTGTATTGGGGTAATCAATTATAAACTGTTTGACCTGAATTAATGATTATGGTAATGATATTGCGATCCCAGAAATTCGTCTCAGAAAACAGTTTCACGGGCATCGAGTAAGTTCAAGAGACATACCAGCAAGATAAAGGGACAAAAATACTTGGAGAAGCTAACGAAAAATTCCCAGCGAGCGCCTTAAGATGAAGTTTACCGCTTATGCCATGTCTCAGTTAAATTTCAGGCTTGTATCAAGTCCTCAAAGTAACCCTATGTACCATATATCCAGGCAAACTCTACGAGGTATGTGGGGGTTATTTAATATGCCGTAAAAGCCCTATATTGATGTGTGACGTCGGTTTACAAATAACGCTAAGGTCTCTACGACGCTTTCAGGTGATCTGACCGACTGGCCACCGTACTGTAATTAGGTATCCGGTACCTTGATACTCCTGTCCTTCCGAGTCACCTTTAAATTTACTACGACGACCTACAAGGCCGGGTGGTGCACGTACGGCATTGCCGTATAACTACACATAGGCGCAGTATATACCGGTACCCTTGCATTGTGCGAGCCATGTACGTTGGCTAGCCCAAGCGCTGCGTGTATGTGCTTGGTGGGTCGGTCATTCTTATGGGTGAAAGCGGTACGGTTGTATATAAACTGCGGCTTGGCATGGTAAAGGTGAGTGATGTTCCATGAAGTTGAGATACAATATCTAGCCGGAATAGTACTTGTACCTACTTATCCAGGTACGGTGTTCCTCTCGCTACTAAATCTTCAGCCAAGTATACAGAGACTCTCCATTATCATAATTAAACGTGGTTTTTGGAGGGTCTGCCTGTCGATGTTTTCCAGTTATAACTCGCTCTAGATCAAGGCACGAGATACTAGTGATGGTAGGATCGGAAGGTCTGAATGTGACAAATGCTCTTCAAGTTTGTGTAGTAACTGGAGGATTGTACTTTGTGGCGTTCCGTGGAACTGAGCCGTTTTAATCATGAATAGGTAGGATACAAAGGCTACAAATCAAAAGAGCTTCTAGGAAAAGGACCTGGGCCTGGGATATTGAGAACGAAATTCAGTGAGCTTGAATATCGTGCGCAATTTATTTAAAAAAGCACCGGATGGAAGCAAAGACCGAGAATAGTTGATAAATTGGGATAAAACAATTAAGCTCTGCGATACGCGGGAAGCGGCAGAAAAGGGGTTCGTGCGACAGATCTAACTTATTACCATCAATACTGATCTATCCGCGATTCCCTCGATCAGTGCTACATGGGAGCATAATACATATGAGTTGTACACCACGCGATGTGGTTTTCCGCTATTCGTTTCTCAATGCCTAAAGCTTAATTGAATTGGCGGTATGGTTTGTGCCAATCTTTGAACGTTCTCTCCTTAGGTCGGATTCTGCAAGTAAATCTACCGTTGCATGCATCTCTGGAATATGGCTTATGGGTACGTGTATTTCTCCTATAGATCTCCGAACACGGTTCCATATCTGGTCAGCTGAGGCAAATAGAACACCCCCGGTTTAGTCTCTATCCCACCCCATCCGTCCCACTTCATCAATTGAATATTGTAAAGTGCCAGTTTATCCGGATCTTCATCCGGAACTCAGGTTGCTGGTTCCCAGTGAAGCATTAGCTAGATCGCTCTAGGATCGATCGTATGCCGTACGCTGTGGCTACCGCGATCTGAATTGTTATATAGTACCGAGCTGAGACATGCATAAGTATAGTTAGCAGTACCAACGTTTAAATTATTAGAGAATATTCGTAATAAAACCTGCACAGGCCCCCGGGCCCCAGAGACTTTGTGAGGCACCACAATCTCTACCCACAAATTAATTATGAATACTAGTCTCACCTGTTTATATCATATCAGTTGGATTGAAATAGCGTTCTCAACCATACGGGCTGTCTTGAACTCTCATCTCGAGACACGTAGTTCAATAACATTAATTATATATCTTTGCATCCATGATCTTGAGACTGGCTTGGGATCTACCAAGATCTGCGAGCTAATGGCATAGATAAATGTATTACCTGTAGGGACAAAGCCATACATATACTATAGTTCTCCCTTGATTCTGTACCCACTAGCTGCCAGGCAACAACTAAACTAAAATCTGAGTAACAATACCAGGAATAGGTACTTAAGATCTCAATAGAGTATTATCATACAAGCTCCTTATTAGAGCTCACAACTATGGAATTCATTCGGTCTTCTAAAGTTGGTTTTGTGGTGGGCAAGACAGGTCGAGACCGCCGCTCTCATCTGACACGACGAGACAATTAATAATAGTCCCGAGATCGTCTCGAAAGGGTAGGGATAAGATCGCGGATTCGGGATCGATAATCAATAGAGCTTCGATAACGAAATTGAATGAAAGATGAAAGTGTAAATAGAAGCTCTGCATATATATATTATGCCGCTAAGCTGAAATTAAGCAGCACTTGTGCTTGTGCTAATCTACTTACTAGGGAGTTTGATCCGGCACCTCAAATTTCTATCTGATTGGAGTCGCGTCAGGTACCTTGCTATGGCCGGAAGCTTAAATTGCGGAGGAGAATGAATACGTCTGGCAAGTATCAAATATAGCGAGCATTGAATGTGGCTCTTACAGAGGAGAGAAGGGATGGGGTCCCGAATGCTCCATTCTTTTATGTATCATATCCATTTCGTGACATATCGATGATGTTTCTAGTCAGTGGTATCTCTGGGGGTGATGCAGAGTATTCGCCCTGTGGCCATTCTAAAAGGTAGTAGTGATATCGTGGAGATAGATCTTGGTTGAGCTATTTGTGGTTTTGTGTTATCCTAGCGTTGATATATAGAGCCAGCTCTTATCAAAATTTTCCCCAAACAACTACATTTGAGCGCATACCTCATAGGCCTAGATCTCACCACTGCATCTCAAAATGAAATTCCTCTACATCGTTTCAACCATCGCCGCCGCTAGCAGCATCAATGCTATCCAAACCACTAGAGTCAATGTGTTCATGGACGAGCAACAGATTGGTTAGCCCTATATATTCTCCTCGTTCCGCTTAGTTGGTAGTTAAGCAGCTCTAACCGCCCCCCACGCAGAAACTGAGTCGATGGTCTGCAGACGTATTGGACAGTCTTGCGGCCTCTGGGGCGGGCCCTGCTGCGATGGCTTGTTCTGCATGATGTGGTCAAGTGGTATTTGCGTCGAGTACCCCAAGAACGCAAGTTGTCCTCCTGAGTATCTATACACGAAATACTGCTGACCCAGGGGAAAATCAGCACTGAGAAAACATTTCCGCCAGCCCGGTGGCACTAGAACTACTACAAGTTGGAGTGACTTTGACGTTTCCTGTTCTTTTTTTTGTCTGTGTCCTCTCCGGCTTGACACCGGAGGTACTAAGTGATCACCGCCACATTTTGTACCGCGGGTTAATTGGTAGTACTAGTCAAGAACGCAAATGAAAAAACCATATTTGGGAATTAATTCTGCATTCGCGTGATGTCTCGAGCTGCTACTGAATCATGGCGTTACCTATATATCACAAGTATTTGCAGTTACATTTCCCATATAATTACCTTCGCACATTGAGGTCTGGCTTAGAAGGGGTTCAACATATTGAAGGTAACCCTAGCCCTAGCTCAGGCGAACTCTACTAGGGAGGGTTACTGAATATCTATGCTGTAAACGCCCTTCACCTGGTGAGCTTCGTGGTTTCCTTGGGGTAGGTGCTTCAGGTGTAGAGGGTCTTTACGCCGTCCGTAATCGTTCTCTTCATGCGGAAAGGACGATATTACAAGGCCACTCCTAAGAAACCTGGTTTATGAAAGGCGATCAAGCCAGATATCGATGTACATGTTTCAGGGCACCACAAAGACCATACATGTATGTATAGGTAGAGGCAGTTAGAATAGACACAGATACATTGTATTTCCCATTACAACAAGCCAACCCACGCAAGGCTCACCAAGCCACACCACACCGCACCGCACCTAGACCGGCGCCTCCGCCATGCCAGGCACAATAACGTCCGGCGCTCACCTCCCCCCCGCCGCCCTCTTTGCCCTCCTCTTCTCCATTTTCCTCTCCATCCTCCCCTCTCTCTGTACCGCCGCCACTGCAATGCTTGTTGTCGCCACAAACAGAAAGCTAGACCGGAACTCTTAGTCGTCACGCCTCTCCCCAATAAACACTCGTTTAAAACATAACGAGGGAACACCCACCTTTCTACCAGCGTCATCGTGATTGGTATTTGCCAGAAGTAGTTAGGGCCGTCTGCCCAATAGATTGTTGTCACCGCGGCATACACCCAGAGGAATGCGGCGCCAAAGTCGATGTATGCCGGGGTTTTTCTTTCGCCTTTCGGTCCGGACATGGACGAGCGAGGAGGGGCTGAAATCTATCCCGACCCAAGCTTTGCCGAGATGCAGGTCTAACGCCCCCTGCGCGCACTAGCATGAAGCTGACTCAAGTGGGCAATAGACTATGGCCATATAAGAAAGTTGGAGAGGTGCGTCCTGCCAGTTGAGCGGTGCATGTTCGCACTCTATGTACAGTCTCCCTCCGCTATACCGAGGCTGCATATCCCAAAATTTCTCGTTCGATAAAGTAGATTCTTCGGTATATATAGCAGATAACGTCCCGTCATTTTCTTGTGAAATTGAAATTCGGATCACCAAAACCAGTTCGTAATAGTAGGTTTGTGGCTTTATTGGCATTCGGTATACTCTAGACTATACATGTAGGTTGTGTCGTGTGCTTCTCACGATGCGCAGCTGTCCCACACGGTACCTTGGCATGGTTATCGGACTGGCTGTCCCTGTGGACCTGTCGCTGTCTTGTCCCTGCCCCTTCACCGGCACCCTTTCCTGCCACACGATGCAGGCACATACGCGAATAGGATACCGAGTTTGTAGTCTTTTGAGACTGCCCCCCAGATAGAATACAACCGGCGACTTTCATCGCTTAGTGTTTGTTCTCTGCTAGGTTGATAAACGCGGCGCACCACAGACTCGAGGCTAGAGAGCCTTTATCTTAATCCTCAACTCTCGTTTCGTGCATTCGTATATTGAGAAACCCTGGTCTCTTGGTCGTCTTCCTCAATATTGGCACAGAGGTGTGTGAAAAGTGCCTGCGGAGTTGTCGCTACAGCTTGGGACAGCTGATATGGGGGAGGGGAGGAACGTGTGTGGGGGATCGAAGGCGATAAAAGTCCAAGTAGGGTTAGTGTTGGGACTCAATTGGGGCCGAGACTTGGTTTCTTTCATGATGACTGAGTGGATAGGCCTTATATGCGCGTAGGGGTGTTGGTATCAGCGGTAGTAGAGCCCCTACTACAAGCTAGAGATAAATTAGGACTGTTTTGTTCCGATGCTCGGAAGCCCAAAATGAGCAGGACCATTTCCGAATTCCGGGTGATATCCTGTGATCGAGGAAGAAAATTAGTCGCTGGTCTCCATCTTTAGTCACAACCGAGGAATATTATCCCTTAATCCCTTGTTACGGGATATAATGGTAGTATTGAAATGTAGATATCCGACACGTGGTGGTGGCGATTAACATGTTTGGATTCCACCGTTTTATGGGTACGAGTACTTGTATACTATCCTCGGGCGATATGGCGCTGGCTGTTGAATTATAACCAAAGGTTACGGTATGAATTCCGCGCGGCCGAGGCAGAACTGATCCCTTTTGTATCCAGCCCACGATCGTGTCACTGGTAGTCACGATAACCAGTTCCCATGATGGCGCTGCGGTATGATCTCCAGGGAGCTAGCACTTCAGCTTGGATCAATTTCATTGATAAGACAATTAAGTGGATCAATCCTGCACCGCATGTCGATGGCTCTAGTTAGCTTCTGAATCTTGCATGTTGAAAGACCGATAGAGTGAGGTTGGCATAAAAACAGCGCAGGGGGTATTGGCAGGTTGGCAAGTGCTTGTTTCCTTACACAATAGTAGTTAGCGGGAGCAGGTGGGTAATGAATTCAAAACCATAGTATTATTAATATGAGGAGTCGATATTCCAAAGTCCCTTATTACCGGATTGATAGACTTCTGCGCTGCCCGCCGCTGTTCCCCCGTCCACTAGCTACCTCGAGTACCTAAAAACTGGTTCCGCGAATTGTAAGTCAAGTCCACGAGCATCTAAGCCACCCCACATCCCTTCGCTCGTTTTGGCCATAAACGCTAGCGCTATTAGGGGGTGTTTGACTTGTTCTATCTAGCCCGTGCTATGCGAACCTCTTTGAGCTCGAAGCCACAGTTGGTGAACTCTTTTCGATAGATATTTCCACTCCTAGGGGATATCGATCTACTCCGGCCGTGTAGCAGTTAATATTTGGAAATCAACGGTGTGGGAACCGGGCACGAACGAAGGGATAACACCGCGCGCAGGCGTCAACTTTCCACCCGGAGTGTATTCACGTATGCCAGAATTAAGCGCTCAAATTCCGAGGAGCCCAAGCTGCAATAAGTTGAGCCACAAGATTCTTCCTACAGAATGAAAGCAGCCTCCTCAACTATATATAGCGCATACGTATAATTCAAGCCCACGCTAGGTTGTAGACACGCTCATTTTTCGAAAATAACCCCCAAAACCTTGCGTGGCAACCAACATTCCCCACCAAAACTCTGTAAAAACTCAGGCTTCAAAATGCCAAGCCCCACCCCTGACATGACCAAGGCCCTGGACGCCCTTGGTATTGGCAACCTCGACCAAGATCTTGTAGGCGTAGCCAACAATACTGCCCTCTCCGCCCTCACCATCGCCATCCTGGCCAACTCAAACACCTCAGACGAAACCAGACTCGTCATCACCCTCCTGTGCAGCATCGCCAAACAAAACGCGACCATGATAGGCGATATCGCCTCCCTCCAGCAGGACCACGAAGACCTCCAAGAAGAGGTCCGCCGCCACCAACGCTCTCCTGACCCCCGCATCCTCAACCATCTCGACAGCATCAACTCCCAACTCCGCATTGCCCCGCCCCCCCCGCTCCCCCCCCAATCCTAAGAACAACCACTGCCACCCCCCACCCTGCCCCCCCTAACCCCATGCCCCTCTCCTACGCCAACGCCGCCAGATCGGCGGTAACCCCACCTGGACAACAAACCAGACCGCAAAGAAAACGCGGGAAAAGGAACGGAAAAGCTGCAGGATCCCCCCCAAAGGATACGCCTCTCTTGAAATAGGGCGCTCGGCACGTTTCATAGTTCTGGAAGATTCTCATCATTTCATTATAGTATTTGTCATCGGCGTATGACTCACTTTCCTATTAGTCATTCTATTACTCACACGTCCATGACTCATTGTATTTCTTTTGTACTACCTTTCATTAGTATAAATACGGGGCATTCCCCCTTAGCTAGAACAATAATACGATCAATCACTTTACTTCTCCTACATACTTTCTCTAGGTTATGAGCCCGGAGACCACTCACGCTCATACACTCTTCACCATTTTTACCACAAAGTACACTTTCTCGTTTCACTTTCAATCATGTCTGAGAGGAGCATCAAAATTCCCGCACTCCCATGCAAGCTGGATGGTCAAGGCCATTACACTGTATGGAGGGACCTTGCTACCCGCATGTTGAAAGTTCACGATCTGTGGAACTTGGTCAATGGTTCGAGCAAGCGTCCCGTGTTGACAACCACCACTACTGTACCCACCACGGCACCACAAGCATCAGGAAGCGTAGCTGAGGCTGAAGAAGACGAAGAAGAAACCTCCGACAACGCCGAAGAAATCAGCGACTGGGACAAAAAGGACAACCTTGCGGTTGTATTCCTTCAATCTAACATCGAATTCGAAGTTATTCTCACACTGACACCGGCCGACACTGCTCATCACCTCTGGACTAAACTCGAGGACAGATTCGATCGGAAAACCGTCGCCTCCCTCCATTCGCTCCTCGCTAATGTCGTCACACTACAGTACCCACCCGACAAGGGTATCAAGGAACATCTAACCCAGTTCAACACTCTTTGGTCATCTCTCCTCACTAGAACTAGTAACTCTACGGACAAGACCAAAGACCCACTCGGTTACCACCTTCACCAACTTGCATCTGTCTCGGAAGCAAAAGCATCCTTCCTACTCCTCTCACTCCGGCACGAATCCCTCGAATCAGTCGTTGACAACCTGCAAACCAAGCCCAATGTCACCTTTGATGACGTTTATGTAAAGCTGTTGGATCTGGACTCACGGCGCAACAACGATGGACAGGCGGCTGGAGAAGGCTATGCAATCAGGCGAGGAAACCCAGGACACGGAAACAACAACAGAGTCAGGAGGCCACGTAACAATGAAACAGGAAATCGGGAAGTCACATGCCCCTGGTGCACCAAGAATGGAGAATATGCAAAAGGCCACACGCACAAGAACTGCCGGAAACTCAAAGCTTTCAGAGACAAGGAGAAGTCCGCTGCATCTGGCAACCTCAACGTCGCGTCCGGTACTGCATTTCACACAAAACTTGACCTCTCTTGGATCCCCGATCTTTCTGGCCGTCCCGCACTCGAAGAAACCGACGTATTCACAATGCCGGTTGACTTCGACCTCACCAACTTCTCAGATGACACCTCGGATATTACCATGGAAGACTACTTTGGCTTCATAGCAGGACCTTCCACCACCGACAACAAGGCATGGATCTTCGACCCTGGTGCAACCAACCACATGACCGGAACGCTGGTTACCGACCCCACTCCCCACACTGGAACAGTCACTGTTGGAGGAGGTCGCAAACTCCAGATAACCGGAATTGGCAACGTCACCATCAACGGATCACATGGCCTGATCACTCTGCAGAATGTATTTTTGATCCCCGAATTAGGCAACACCAACCTAATGTCTTGGTCTTGCATCGCTAAAAAGGGATTCACAACAATTGGGACGGAAGACGGTTTAACCATCTACAAACCGAACAGCAAGGAAATTATCGGGATCGCTAACGCAAATAGTACTGGACTCTACATTTTTGAAACCAAGGAACCCTGCGCACACCTCTCTGCCGCCACCAGCTTCTATGACTGGCACCAACGGCTCGGACATCTCCCCGCTTCCTCGCTCTCACGGCTTCGCACCATGGTCGCCGACCCCAAATCTCTCCACACATCTGGTCACATGGAAACAAGCAATACATGTGAACTCGCTAAATCAACCAAGTCTCACCTCGCTCCCCTCACCGAACCACAATCCAAACAGCAACTGGAATTAATACACTCAGATATGAGCGGCAAATTCTCGACTCCTTCTCTGGGCGGTTTCAGTTACTATATCACTTTCATCGACGATTATTCTAGGTACGCTCACCTCTACTTCCTCAAAAAGAAGTCAGATGCAGCAGCTGCCACAGAACGATATATCGCATACATGGAAAATCAATTGGACAAAACGGTTAAACGGTTTCGAAGCGATAACGGTGGCGAGTACATTTCCAACGACCTCCAACAATTTTTTGCCTCTAAAGGCATAAAGCATGAATTCACTGTACCTTACTCTCATGAGTCAAATGGAACAGCAGAACACTTTAACAGGACTATAGCAACAATGGCACGATCCGCCTTGCTCGACCACAACCTCCCAAAAAATCTATGGGCAGAAGCGATCAACACCATGGTACACGTGAAAAACCGCCTCCCGCACAAATCACTCCCAAATATGACACCATACGAAGCACTTACCAGCAAGAAACCCTTTATTGGGCACCTCCGATCCTTCGGTGAAACCATGTTCATACACATACCCGTCGAAGCACGACCAGCTGGAACAAAACTGGATGCTAGGGCCATAACAGGACAATTCTGCGGAGACGGAGATTCTGAAAAAATTTGTCGCGTCTACATACCATCACAAAGGAAAGTAGTTCTCTCTCGTCATTTTAAGTTTAAAGGTACATCCGTAGGGGAAGAAATCGAAGTCAAAACAAAAACCGACACACCCCCTAAACCAAAACAAATCGAGATCAAACAAGAACCATCTTCACGTCCGTCAACACCAAAACAACATAGAACATTCAACGACGACCCAAGTGACGACGACATGATCAACCAACAGATAATGCGTGAAACCATGTAACATTTCTCCGACACTGATTCGGAAGACCACGCAATTATAGTGGGGGCCGGCTATAGGAGGCCCGCCACTGAACGTACCCCGTATGATGATAATGAAACAGACACTGATCAACCGAGACGTAACCCAGCACGGGAACGGAAACCTCCGGTCAGATACGGACACAACATTCAGCATGACACTACCCTAACAGAAGCAACAAACTACCACCAAGCGATAAACAGTCCTGACTCCGAAAAATGGCAGAATGCTATGAAAGTTGAACTCGACTCACTCGCAAGGAATAATACATGGAATTTGGTCAACACACCGAATCACCGCAAATTGGTCGACTGCAAATGGGTATACAAAATTAAACTCGGGCCCGATGGCAACCCCATACGGTACAAAGCCCGACTAGTCGCAAAAGGTTTCTCACAGGTACCTGGTCAAGATTTCGATCAAACCTATGCCCCCGTCACCCGATACGAACCCATCAGACTACTCCTCGCTCGCTGCCTTCAAACCGGCAGCCAATGCGATCAGATGGACGTCACAAGCGCATTTCTATACGGCGAACTCAAGGAAGAAATCTACATGAAATCTCCTCCAGGATATCCTACTCCCGGCAAAGCATGCAAACTAATCAAATGCATCTACGGTCTCAAACAATCCTCAAGGGAATGGTATACCCGCCTCTCAAAAGCGTTAATCAAAATAGGACTCAGAAAAGCAGACTTCGACCCTTGTGTCTTCATACACAAAACAGGGGAAGTTGTCATCGCAATATACGTGGACGATATCCTCATCTTCTACTGGTCCGTTGAACGCAAAAACCGCGTCAGCCTCCTCCTCCACTCTGAATTCGAAATGACGGAAACTGGAACAGGCAACTAGGCACTCGGAATCCACTTGATCCACACTAAGACAGGCATCATCCTATCACAGGAAGCCTATCTCAAGCGTGTACTTATCAAATACGGCTTCGACGAATCTAGACCTGGAGCAACACCTATCGACAACAACGTCCACCTCCAAAAAGGAACGGAAGCTGAGAAAATCGACGATCCAACAATTTACCAGTCAATAATCGGTTCACTCATGTACGCAGTAATCGGCACTAGACCCGACCTCGCCTACACCGTCACCATGCTCTCACAATTTTCCTCTTGTCCTACCAAGGCTCATCTAGCTGCAGTCCACCGCGTTCTCCGTTATCTCAAGGGCACCCTCGATTGGTCACTCTTTTACGCCAAAACGCGACCAACTGCACTCATTGGCTAGAGCGACGCAAGCTATGCCTCCGACATTGACGATCGCCGATCATTCACTGGCCACTGCTTCATGCTAGGGGAAGCTCTAATCTCCTGGCGTTCTTATAAGCAACGATCTGTTGCTACTTCTACAACTGAAGCGGGATACATGGCTCTCTCGGACACCAGTCGACAACTGATATGGTTAAGGAATGCAATCCACGAGCTGGAACGAAAACCGAACTTCTCTTTCATTCTTCGAGGCGATAACAACGGCTCTCTCTCTTTGGTTAAAAATCCTGTCTTTCATAAAAGGTCTAAACATATTGACGTACATTTTCATTTTGTTCGAGAACGGTTTGAGGATGAATTATTTGAACTGGAATATATTTCTACGAACGAGAACGTGGCGGATTTACTTACAAAGGGATTGGATAAAGGCAAACATGTTTTATTTTCTTCTACTATTCACTGTGGCTCACGAGGGGAAGTCTTGAAATAGGGCGCTCGGCACGTTTCATAGTTGAAGATTCTCATCATTTCATTATAGTATTTGTCATCGGCGTATGACTCACTTTCCTATTAGTCATTCTATTACTCACACGTCCATGACTCATTGTATTTCTTTTGTACTACCTTTCATTAGTATAAATACGGGGCATTCCCCCTTAGCTAGAACAATAACACGATCAATCACTTTA